TTTAACGCTGTTTTCAAGTAAAACAAAAATATGTTTTATCTTTAATCAAACTAAAATAACTTGACAAATATTAACCGCGGTAAAAGTTATATGATCTCACAATGCAATTAACTTCGAAAATTGTCATTAACCCCGCAGTTAATTAGCTCATAAAAATTGGATTTTTTCTCTCCTGTCGTCTAAAACAATGACGGATTCCTTCGAGCCAATTGTATTGAACGCAGCGTTTCGGAGCTTTTTTTTTTTTTCGGTCTGATCCCTGTAAACCTCACCATTGTTTGGGGCATTTAGAGATTAAGAAGAAAAAAACTTAAGTCGATGACTAGATTAATTAAGTTTAGAAAAGTCATAATAATACATTATCGCATCAATAATTTTTTTTAGTATCTCGGGTTATAAATCATGGATAGATGAAATTCTATATATATATATATATATATATATATATATATATATATATATATATATATATATATATATATATATATATATATATATATATATATATATATATATATATATATATAAATATATATATATATATATATATATATATATATATATATATATATATATAATATATATATATACAATATATATATATATAATATATATATATAAATATATATATATATATATATATATATATATATATATATATATATATATATATATATATACAAGCACACACACACACACACACATATATATATATACATACATACATATATATATATATATATATATATATATATATATATATATATATATATATATATACGGTTATATATATATATACGGTTATATATATATATATATATATATATATATATATATATATATATATATATATATATATATATATATATATATATATATATATATATATAAAACCGACCCGGACCTCATGAATTATAAAACCCCGAGGCTACAGATTGGCAATTTATTTAGAATCTATGTCTGTATGCAGGAAGACATTATTTGTTATTTCCCGTAGTTTGAAGAAGCTGAGCGGGTCACTAAAAATAACAGGATTTGGACGATTTACTGCATATAGATTAATTAAGGAGCCCCTACTTTTTAAAGCAATACGTTTTAGAAAATATTTTACTAAATTTAAATGAGGGTTACCAAAGAAGAACACGCGTTTGGTCTAAACTTCGTTTTATTTACATTAATTTTAAGTATTTTTCTTAATGAGCTCGGAATACAAATGCATTTTTTCCCTCTTTTTTGTTGTCTTTTTTTACCTAGAATGCTCAACTATATAGAAATATTTACATGGATATGTTATACCTTTATTTCCTAATATTTAAAGACATTTCCGAATACGATAAACTTATTATAGTTTGCTGTATTTCTCCAAGCACACATAACTAGTCGTCTTTATGTGTTTATTTTCATAGTTTATAATTTTCGTTTAAAAAAAGGGTGTACGTTTATTAAATTGAATTTTAAAAAAAAACAATGACGAGTTTTGAATATTTTACACCTTATAACTGTTTGCCTAGAAAAACAGCAATGACGTGTACAAATCTTACATCATAAAACTAGTTACTATAAATAAGAGAAATGACGTCAATATAATATTATTCTCTTCTATTGTCTAGTAGCTAACATAAGCATTTGTAAAAACTAAATATCTTAAAATATGAACGTCAGCGGTATGTTTTTTTTAAATTTAATTTCATGAACAACAACTGTTTAATTAGATTAAGCGTGTTCTAATTATCTACAGGCGGATTGGGAAAATCTTAATTAGATTACGTGAGAATGTATACACAAAAAGTTTCCATCTGGCATGTATTCAGGTTATTACTATGTCGAACTGTAATGGGAAAAATATTTTTATATAAGCCAACGGGTATTTTTAATAGTATATTCGTACTTTTGGTAGTAAAAGTAAAAGTTCTCTTTTCAAAGTTGACGGTTCATAGAGCAAGTGAAGTAGAGTTCACTTGTTTCTGTGACCTTGATATAAAAAGGGATAGTGTGGTTAGCACTATACTTTTCTTTAACTTGAGTTAGGTACCCATTAGAGCTGGGTGAACTCAGGCACGTTTAACTGACTTGAACCTGGATTCGAACTCGAGACTTTCGTGTTAGCAGTCTATCGCTTTATCGTTTGGACTTATGGGCAGTAGCGAATCATGAAGATGTTTAAGGGGACGCTCTACACCTGGGGCTTCCTTGGGTGAATAGTCTAAACATATATTCTAATTCCTTTATGGCCCTTTGAGAGCAAATGTCAGAAGCCAAACATCTCTATCATACTCGGCTTTGGGCAGCTCTCGTCGTTTTCTTCTTCTTTTTCGTTTTTAATCATAGTGTTGGAAGGGATTCCCTCCAACACAATTAAGTATTACATGTTATACGCCATTGAGGCCATCGACTCCGATTTCAGCCTGCTTTTCGTTTTGGATTTGCTTCTATAGCCTTTGTCCAACCAAGAACAAACTACAAGGCAGCAGTTGTTTGATTTGGAGTTGGCTCTCCTAGAAGAGTGGTTGTCCCCAGCTAACGAGCAGCTCTCTTTATTTGCGCCCATTGTAAGCCCGGCAGCCCTTGCCTCACGTTCTACTGTCCTCCTCCAGAATTTCCTTGGCCGGCCTACTTTCCTCTTCTTCTTCTTTTTCTTTTTCGTTCTTAATTTTAGTGTTGGAAGAGATCCCCCTCCAACACAATTAAGGATACGTCTCAACTGGTTATGCGCCATTGAGGCCATTGACTCCGATTTCAGCCTGCTTTTCTTTTTGGGTTTAATTGCATAGCCCTCGTCCAACCAAGAACAAACTACAAGGCAACAGTTGTTTGATTTGGAGTTGTCTCTCCTAGAAGAGTAGCTGCCCCTAACTATCGAGCAGCTCTCTTTATTTGCGCCTATTCTAAAGCCCGGTAGACCGTTTCTCATCTTCTACTGTCCTCCTCCAGGATTTCCTTGGCCGGCCTACTTTCCGTATTCCCTGGGGATTTCAGTCTAACGATTTATAAATTATATAAATGAAGTGAGAAGTTTAAACATAGCAGCTCATGCAATTGGAATGTGAAGCTACACTATTGCATATTTGAATTTTTTTAATTAAAATGTAATTATGGCAGATTAAAATTAGAAAATGCTAAATTAAGAGACACGAGAATAATGTGATTAACCTGTCTGCATGGGAAAAGTTCGAGCGAACTTTTGAGGTCACCACCTCGCCCACGACTTATACTGGTGTGGAAAGTCGCTTCTTTCCATTTTGAAAAGCTGTTGGCACTATATAACAAGGCAGATGCAGAATTTTGTTTTAAAACGTAATATCAACTTGAGTGATGACACAATAACTGTCTCATCGAGTTATTACATTTTTTAAATTTATTTTTTTAATTTTGAAATCTAAAACACGGAAGTTTTTGCGCATTTAAAGCCAAAGATTTGGACGTCTGGATAGTTTTTGCATTTAATAAAAACGTGACGGCTGTTTTAATTAGCTTAGGGTTCTCCGTTAACCTCAGGTTGTCGGTCAAATTGGTTTTTTAAATATCAAATTATTGTAATTTTTAAACTTTTGTTTTTTTCTTCTTTCGACAGATTGGCGGCCATTTTTAGACAGAAGTTTTTACTAAACAGACAAGAAATATAAAAAAAACTGGAATAGAAAGAGCAAGCGGAACAAAACGACGACACACCAAGCAACTTATAACTGTTCTAAATAAAAAGAAACAAAAGTAAGAAATATAACAATTTGCATTTACTTAAATTTCAGTCTTCATGTGCATCATTTTCGTTTTGGAATGTGCAGATTTACCATATAAGATTATACAACTTACTCTTGTTTATATTCTTGCTTGCTCGATTCAGAATAACCATGTAAGACTTAAACTACCATAACCTGTCATTTAGGTAGAACTAGAATTGATTTTTAAAACAAAAACGTGAGTAAATGACTAGAATCTAGCAAGGTAGGAAAGCGCACTATTCAACTCGAAGGTCGAGGGTTCGGAAACAGACAAGAGACTCTAGCTAGTGCCCTATCAGAATGCCCTCCCCCCCCCCCCCCCCCCCAGGGTTAATTTTTTAAGCATGTTGTAATTTCTAACCAAGGAAGGAAAGTAAAGCAAAGTTGAAGCACTCGGGTTTTGTGGCTAGAACTAGGCGACTTTGTATAATGGTGTGATCAATTAATAGAGCTTTAGACTCCCAATCCGAAAGTCTTGAGTTCGTATCCTGGGCTCGAGTCCCTGAGTCCACCCAGCTCTGATGGGTACCTAACTTACGTCAAGGAAAGTAAAGGCGGCTGGGTATAGTGCTGATCACTATAACTCCTTCATTTGTCGAGGTAGCTGAAAAAGGTGAACTCTACTTCACCTGCCCCATGGACCGTAAGATTCCAAAGGGTACTTTACTTTTATTTCATGTTTACACTCAGACCGTATGATTTAGTAGGAACCCCTACCTTATACTTGTTGAGTTGTAGTTCCATCCAATGCAACTTTTTGAGAACCATTGGTACCAAACATGGAACATAAATACCACTAGGCGTCAGACATAAAGTAATCGAACACATGATTTTATATTAATAGAAAATTAGAAATATAAGTCTTAAGCTCTCAGTGTTAAACCTACCACTATTTCGGTAATATTGACTGACAGCACCATAATCAATGTAATAAAACATGAAGTCTTTTAATCCGATTAGAAATTATTTGACGTAATCCTTTTTTTAAAAAAAGTCTATACGCATTTAAAAGCTGCAAAATGAAATTGTTCTTACAATTTTAATATCTTTCATTTTTTTTTCTTTTCAGGCCAACAACGAGCAAAGTAAAACTTTTTCCTAATTTTGTTTCGATTTTAAAACGGTTTGATTAAAAACTGTAACTAAAACCAACGAATTAGCAAGGAAGAATTATTGTGTTTAATAAGTGTCGATTTAATAGGAAAAAAAAATTAATTAATTTTCAATCACTGAATACTGACATAATTTTCGAGTAGAATTATATAGATTTTCAAAATTTTCTATTAAGAAAGATTCTTAATTATAAAATAAATAATTATAAAACTCGTATTTACTTTAATATTATTTTTCTCTGATAAATTAAAGTAGTATTTTCCAAATAGAGATTCTAAAACGGAATTGTATAGATAGAAAACCAGAATTTTCAAAACTACTTTTATAGGTGATAGTTGAATAGATTTTGAAGCGGAGATAATCTGCTTCTCTAAGATGTCCTTCCAACCCTGTCAGTGCTTAGATAAAACTCAAAGACATAAGACGGATTCCACAATGACAAGTAGCTGTCAATCAACCATCCAATACTTGATCATCATCGCCCTCTTCCTACTTCTCACCCTCACCCCCGCTCAGGGGGGCGAAGAGGAAAACGACTGCGGCGAGGGGTGCCAGTTTCTGTACCCTGACATCCCTCTGATCAGCCGCTGTGTCAAGTACTCCTGTCGCCGGCGCGTTTTTCAAAATTTCATCCGTTTCGGAAAACGCTCCGGGAACTCTGAAGAACCTCTGCCACTTCAAAAACACCCCAGCGCTTTAAAAAATTTAATCCGCTTCGAACAGCGTTCGGGGTACGATTCAAACCCGCTGTTTCAACTAACCCAGTCCGATTCAGCTCCTAAGATTCAAAATGTTGAGCCCATCAGCGAGACCTTGCAGACCCAGCAGCATCAACTGTCGCAGGAGGAGCTACAGCAGCTCACCCAAGAGGAGCTTCCCAAGCTAGAAGTTGTCTCCAAGACTTTGCGCCTCAGCAGACCGACGACACGTCGCTTGGAGAACATATTAGACGCCATCTTGGACTTAGCCTGAGCAGTGCTCCTCACCTTCATGAAATAAATTATCTTAATTATATTTCAATGAAATATTAAATATTCACCATGTGTTTTGCGTTGCTTTTTTTAAAGTCCGTTTTTATATTGTTTAGATTGTTGTGCGAGAACATCTACGATTTTTTACATCACTGGATAAATTTAAAATAGCTGGAGGATAAGAGTTTTCTACGTAACTTTTATGTCGTTGTTGTTCTTTTTTTTTTTTTGGTGCGAACATTTGCAATATTTTTACATTGCTGATTAGATATTTAATAAATGAGCTGGACAATAAAATATTCTTTTAAAAATCGGAACACAGCTCGAAGGCACAAATCTGTGCAGAAAATAGGTCTTCTATATTATGTAATAAGACAACGAAATAATTAAACTGTAATAAAAATCTGTCAATTATTATCAAAGTAAATTTATCTACTTAATGCTTTTTTTTTTAATTTAATAAATCATTAAAAACTCCATATTTTTTAATCAGCTAAACCTAAAAAAAAATTCGAATAACATATTTTTTAAAACGTAAATAAAAATTGAATAGTTTTTTACTTGATACAATGCTTAGTTTCATTCCCGTTTAATTTACTTTAAAATATTTGGGCGCTTTTAAACAATACATTTTAAAGATTGTAATACTAACTAGAATCATGCTTATTGGATAAAAGCATATTCCTTAAGATGATAATAAATAAAACTGGGAGTGATATGCAACAGTGGAAACTCACAATGACGCTGGCTCTTGATGTATGGTCCTACAGCTATTTCACTCTTCCACCCACAATCTTCTTTTTTTCTAATAATACTTTTGTAGAAAACACATTGTCATCAAAATCTCATCATTAAAGTTTTTTGAAAAAATTCAGAAAAAAAAACAGAGAAAAATTTTAATCACTAATACGGTGGTGATTTATTGAAGACAATATCTAATTTTAAAACATTGTTTTGATATATCAATCAGAACATAGCCTACAGAAATGACAATTTCCGCATAAAATATATCGAATCGATTTTGCTTTTTTTTCTTTTAAAATCTATTTAACAGTCAGAAATTTAAACAGTTATACATTTACATTATTCTTATTTTAAAAGTAGATTTTATTTATTTTTTTGAAAAAAAATACATTAAAAAAAAACAACTCAAACACTAAAACTACCTTTAGAGTTTTAAGCAAATGGAAAAAATATTTGAACATTGATTCTGTCACATCGGACGATAAACAGAGTAAAAATTGATGCAGATTTATCCTGAGATACAGGGTTAAATTAGACAAGATATATCTCTTGTAATTTCATTACAATTAAAGTTTTTTTTAATGTCTCCTATCATCATTGGCTCCATAAAAATAATGAAACATTTTTCTGTTTTTTGTTCTTAGTTTAATTTTTTTTTCTTTAAATTCAGATTTTCTCTAAAAATAAACCGGTTAAAGTATTTAAAAACAGTAACAAGTGTTAATAGAGAATACAAATACTTCAATGTTAGGATTTTAAAAGGAAATTTTAACATGGGGACATTTTACTGTGAAAACGATTTTTTTTTTAAATTAAACAAATTTAAAATAAACAAAACAAAAAAAAATTAAACTGTTGAAATTTTTTTCCTTTATAGCCGTAAATAGCAAAGCTTTGTGTGGAGGCTATAATGAAGCAATCATCAGTACTGAAACGGCAGGAGGATCAAGAAAACATTGATTTTGGTGGTCAGGAGGCTCCCCCTCTAGTCAGCGACTTTAGCAGCTAGTCAGGGGGAGGGGAACAACAGCACTCTTATGAGTTTTTTTTTAGGAACACGAATTGCCGACTAGGCAACAAATGATTTAGAAGGTGGAGACCCTAAGATCATTAAATAATTATTGATTAAACTTTCTTAAAAATTGTCATCCATAAAAGACGTCACACTTCTAGAAAGGAGGTGATTACAGAATTTTGTGACAATGTGTGATGATTGGAAGTGGGGGGTGGGGTAGACAAACAAAAATTGTTTTTAAAAAACGTGACATCATTTATGAATGACCACCCCTACCCTCTATAAATATAAATAAGTGCATTCTTCCGAAAATTGAACGTATAGCATTAGCCTTGTAAGAGGATCGTTACAGCTAGTAGCAGCTCTGTTAAACTCATGAGCTTACGGTAATAAAAAAATAGAGCAGTAGAAATTTAACAACGTGTTTTCATTCTGGTAAATTGTAATCCACTATGTGTATCAAAAACGTGTTGAGAACTATAAACAAATATATATTTAATATTAATAATAATATAACGTAATTTTTTTAAAAATTAGCGTGTTTTCATTCTGGTAAATTGTAATCTACTATGCGTATAAAAATGTATTGAGAACTATAAACAAATATAGATTTAATATTAGTAATATTATAACGTAATTTTTAAACGTATTAGATAAAGCTAAACCAAGATTTAAATAACTGTATAAGCTACTATCAAGATTATAAATCTAAGATGCACGGGTATTAAATTGATGAAATAAAATATGTTGGTACAGAAATTTCCATGGAGGTGGTACTAAATAGTTAACATCCGGTCTACATTGGGTTAATTTAATTTAATTTCTAAGATGACCGTGGGCAATTTAATTAGTTATTGTGCTGTTTGGCCCAGTTATTGTGCTGTTTGGACCAGTTATTTGGCTGTTTGGACTAGTTATTGGGCTGTTTAGACCAGTTATTGGGCTGTTTGGACTAGTTATTGGGCTGTTTGGACTAGTTATTGGGCTGTTAGGACCAGTTATTTGGCTGTTTGGACTAGTTATTGGGCTGTTTAGACCAGTTATTGGGCTGTTTGGACTAGTTATTGGGCTGTTTGGACTAGTTATTGGGCTGTTTGGACCTGTTATTGGGCTGTTTGGACTAGTTATTGATCTGTTTGGACCAGTTATTTGGCTGTTTGGACTAGTTATTAATCTGTTTGGACCAGTTATTTGGCTGTTTGGACTAGTTATTGGGCTGTTTGGACCAGTTTTTTGGCTGTGTGGGCTAGTTATTGGGCTGTTTGAAACATATGAAACATCTGAAAAATATTTTTAGAACGCTTACTGCGTGTACGATCGAAGTTTTTCATCTCAAATTGAATTTTCATAAAAAAAAAACCACTCCCTAAAACAAAATTAATGTATATGCACACAACAGTTAATAGCTATTACCGAAATGTGTTAAATACTCTCAGTATAAATGGAGGCAACTCAACAAATAAGGTTTAACAGGGCAACTAAGTCAGGGTTGAAAATAAATTCACACTTTATCCAATCCGGGTCTACCAAAACAACGTTTTAGGGGATAAAATAACAGAAGCTGTATCCCTAAGGACGTCCCCTCCTAAAGTGGTCTGAACTTTTTTTTTTTAATGTTAGAAAACAGACAATATACTTGTTTCTAGTTTTAGTAGATGTTTTGACCTTTAAATTTTCCTAACGTAATGATTTTATATTTTAAAATTTTAAAGAGTTCAAGGATTTATAAACAGACAAACCACGCGTCTAAATTTGTGTTAGGTTTAGGTTAAACAAAAATGCATCCTTGGGAATTATAATTACGTAATTTTATTTTAATAAGGTTAACGTGGGGTAAAATAAAAACACACGGGAAATTTTCGTTTACGTTTACATATTTTAGAACTATCTTTGTGTTTTCATTTTAAAGTGTTGTCAGTGACATCACTTTTACCCTGATCAAAGTTGGTTTAGCCCGGGTTTTTATTTTGAAAAGAAATCGACATCACGCAGGGAGCGAGTGGGCGAGGGAAGAAAAACATTATAAAACAGGATGCGTGGAATTAGTGTTTGTCGTAGGAACTGTAAGTGTAATTGAGTCATGTTACTCTCTTATATATATATATATATATATATATATATATATATATATATATATATATATATATATATATATATATATATATATATATATATATATATATATATATATATATATATATATATATATATATATATATATATATATATATATATATATATATATATATATATATATATATATATATAAGTATTTTTGTATGCATTTTGTTAAATGTATGAAGTTTCCAGAACATAAAACTATGCAGACGAATTTCCTGTAACAACACCTGACCTTAGGGTATATCGGATCTACATATCCCCCCTCCACCCAACCCATCATAACGTATCAGCCTGCTCATCACCCCCCCCCCCCCCACACTCCATCTGATTTTTCACTTCCTCCTTCCTCCCCATCCCCCCTCCCCACCTCTTTAACCGTGCCCAAACTATTTCTATTCTGGGAGAATTCTTCCTGTTGCACACATACAGTGTTATTTCCCCTGATTATAATGACAGGCCAGGTGTCGCATGGCTATTTGTTCCCGCGCAATTAATTCCTGGGGTTAAATATACGTCTTCGCCACGAAGGCCTACACCGCACATACACAACATTCGATGTTTTTAAAAAAATGTATTTTTAATACGATGCACTATATGTTCAGTGTAGGTCTCTATCTTAACAACTTTACATTTATTGACACTGTGGAATAGGGCTTGTAAGTCTCGATCTCTCTCACCTAAAATTTAAAATCTCGTTAGCCAGGTAGAGATATAAATTTTCGAACTAAAATGAATTGATGTGAACATTATTCTAATTGGTAACAAACACAAATTGCAGTTATCAGTTTTTATGCCTATTTTCACGATTTTAACACTAAGAGTACCCAAATGCAATAATTATATTTTTTACTTATAATAGAATCAAATTAAGTAACGGCAGGTTTATGCTATCAATAATAGCATTTTAATACTGCAACAAATTTAAGACAACTTTTTACAGTTTCGAATAAATAATAACAAATCGTACGCTTCTTTAAAAATCAGAATTAAACGTAGGTTATTTTTCTCTTTAAGCTAGCCTGCATCTTGTATTCTATCATCATCTTTGTTTAAGATTCATATTTGGTTTGAAATAATTGAAAAGCGTGTACTTTGACAGCAAATGTTACCTTTCCAGATTTACATGACACAATACTAGTATTTGATAACTATTTTTATTGGAAAATGGCAAATATAAGTAGAAATTAATGTAATATAATTCCATTAATTTTTTAAATAAAAATACATTTTTAAATTAAAACAAGCTCATTACTAAAGCTTTTGTACCATATATAACTAAATAAATAAATTTTTAAATATATATATATACATGTATATATGTATATATATATATATATATATATATATATATATATATATATATATATATATATATATATATATATATATGTATGTATATATACACTCTAGATATATATAAATATAATTATAATATATTGATACAATATTTAAAATTATAAAATCAGATGTAAATAAATTTTATTTTAGCTTTGAATAGATAAACTACAAAGCAAAAACAAAAGCTTACATTTGCTTTTTTAGCAAATTGGAATTTCAATATAAAAGAAAACGTATGTATGTAGTACTTAATTAGTAGTGTTCTATAACTCTCGCCCCCCCCCCCTTTGTTTTCCACTTTATAAAGTAAAGATCCCTCTTTAGATCTAGCGATTCATTGGACTGATGGAGTGTAGTTAATGCTTCTTGACCTGGACGTTTGAATGGATCGTGTGGTCAGCCACCTTTACTTCTCCAAACGTTGGCCAGGTACTCATCAGAGCTGGGTGGACTCGGGAACCCACCAGGGGCGGAACTACAGTGCCGCCAGACCCCGCAATGCGGGGGGGGGGGGGGGGGGGGGGGCACGACGTTTAGGGGCCCAATTCCGACCAAAAAAACAATGAATTTTCCTTTCATAAATAATGTTTTTCGTGCACATTGATAGTAGTTTTGTAAAAAACAAACAGGTCTACTATAGCAGTGATTGTTCTACAGTAACTAACACACACTGTTGGGTAGAAAAATATAAAATCTACAAGAGCTGTAGTTTGAAAGATAGGCAAACGTTCACAATACTTCCATGACTTACTGCCCTTCATCAAAACACGGGTGCCCATAAAGCTCATTTAAATAGTTTTGTACTATGTAAATTAAAGAGCCATTTATTCTCTTAATTATTATTTAAATGAGGTATACTAAATAAATATATAGCTATAAAAATTAATGTATTCAAAACTAATAATATAAATACAAAAAATCATAAAAATAAACATAACGCGAGAAACCATTTTAAAATCAAGCTTACGTGTTTATATAATTTTGACCAGCCTCAATTCTGTCACTATTTTGGTTACACTTAAAGACGTAATACGAACATTTGTAAAACACGATTAATGCCGCGCTCGAAATGAGTTGGGACTTGTTGTTGTCTGGTTCGTTATCTCAGAGTGGTTATACATTGCAATAAAATAGATTAAAATACTCAGGTAATAGACTATTTATAATTTTGAGAAGCGGGCTACTTATACATATGTATGTATATATATATATATATATATATATATATATATATATATATATATATATATATATATATATATATATATATATATATATATATATATATATATATATATATATATATATACATATAGGGGGGCCCAAAAAAATTTTTTGCGGGGGAGCCTTTTTTTTCTAGTTCCGCCACTGGAACCCACCACTCACACACGTCACAATATATCATTCACAATGTTAAATATAGTTATTTTAGGCAAACTTCAATACTGAAATCCCTATTGCTCCGTTATTTATATATATATATATATATATATATATATATATATATATATATATATATATATATATATATATATATATATATATATATATATATATATATATATATATATATATATATATTTACATTGTTTACTTTGTTTACTTTGTTTACTTTGTTTACTTTGTTTACTTTGTTTACTTTAAAAGGTGAAATTTTAAAAAGCACTCAAGTTATCAGCATAAACAAATACAGATGTGCAGAGGCGTAGCGAGGGGGGGGGGGCGGGGGGGCGGAACCGGGTGACACCATTTAGGGGGTGACACCAGGCAAAAACTAGCAAAATATATATATACAAAAAATGATAATTCCACTTAATTAAGTGAGCAATTCGAGTGTTAAATAGTCTTTTAAGAGGTGGGGGTGCACATCGTAAGTTTGAGCGGGGGTGCAAATCGAAAAATGAAAGTTTGTCCTCGGGAAGGGTCGCTACGCCTCTGGGGGGGGGTGACACCATTAAATGCCGCACCGGGTGACACCCGACCTTGCTACGCCACTCCAGATTGTATTAATTTGAGAAATGTTGATTTTAGATCAGAACATCAAACACAAGCTAGAGGCTTGAAAAAGTGTACTTTTCACATTGTTTAATGATTCACATTAATGATTTAATGTGTTATTTTAATCTTTTTTGTTTATTGAATAAATAATATTAACATTTAAATTCATAAAACACCTTTACTTTCACAGAGTATTAAATTGTATTTGGTTATCATCTTAACAAAAACTTTTATTCACATGGGCAACACATTTCGATCTGTTTTTAGATCTTAACGAAGTCTTTGAGTAGAGCATCTTGAGGCTGACCCAGGTACACATGGCCATCAGTTCCACAAACTCCAGGAGGGTGAGTATACTGGCACCTGTAAACAGACCGATCATGCCTCCTGCGGAACCTGCAAAATCAGTGTGTCAATAGATATAAGTATACGGCAATTACGGCTCAAGCTATTGTTCGTTTATTGGCTGGTTGAGTAAATAAAGTCCCCTTTCGAACCTAACAATCAATAGGCAAGTGAAGTAGAGTTCACCTGTTTCTGTGGCCTCGGCATATGAAAAGATGGTGTGGTCAGCATTATGCTCAGCCGCCTTTGCTTTCTCAAACGTCAGTTAGGTACTTATCATAGTTCGGTGGACTCAGTGACGTTGAACTTGAACCTGGATTCGTACTCGAGACTTTCGGCTTAGCAGTGGGGGGTAGGTAAGTCTTACAATAATACGCTGGGAATAAATGTCTAGAGGTGAAAATATCTGGCGAGATTTTTCAGGATTCTAAATTTCTCTTGTCAAAAATGCCGGGGGTCAAACTGGCTGGGGTCGTAATGTCTGGGGTCGAAATGCCTGGGGTCGAAATGCCTGGTGTCGAAATACTTGGGGTCGAAATGCCTGGTGTCGAAATACTTGGGGTCGAAATGCCTGGTGTCGAAATACTTGGGGTCGAAATGCCTGGTGTCGAAATACTTGGGGTCGAAATGCCTGGTGTCGAAATACTTGGGGTCGAAATGCCTGGTGTCGAAATACTTGGGGTCGAAATGCCTGGTGTCGAAATACTTGGGGTCGAAATGCCTGGTGTCGAAATACTTGGGGTCGAAATGCCTGGTGTCGAAATACTTGGGGTCGAAATGCCTGGTGTCGAAATACTTGGGGTCGAAATGCCTGGTGTCGAAATACTTGGGGTCGAAATGCCTGGTGTCGAAATACTTGGAGTCGAAATGTCTGGGGTAGAAAGCCTAGGGTCGAAATGTCTGGGGTCGAAATGCCTGGGGTCGAAATGCCTGGTGTCGAAATACTTGGGGTCGAAATGCCGGGGGTCGAAATGGCTAATTGACGTTTGAGGGTCGAAAGGCTCGGGGTCGACATTCTGGGGTTCAGAAATCTGGGTTGCAAATGTCTGTGATCGAATTAAATTAAGTGCAACAATCTCTGGTCAAAACCGCTAGTACCAAACCTTCTAATGAAGAAATATATGGGCTCGAATGAGGGGTGTGTCCCTGAGGCCGGGGACATTTTTAAAAAAGTTGTCCCCAACCCTAGATTAAAACTATTTTCATCGTGCCTTTTTTCTCTCAATCAAGCCTGAATTTTACTCCACGGTATTTAGGAATGATAAATAGTAAAGTATTAACAATTGAAAATAAAATTTAAACCGGGAGTGATCTCCCCTAAACTTTCTCGAATATTCTTATATAAAACAACAGGGGATGGGAACTCGGGCTATAGACATGATTTTCAATCCATTTTAAATACTTAAAGTTTTAAAAATAGAATAAAATCTCGTAGACAAAAGAATTGCACATCAAGTGAACGCCAAATAAAAAAAGTGCATAATAGTGCGCAATATTATTAGTACTTTAAAAATTTACATTAGTTTTTTGAGAAATCGGAAGTAGCGTAAATTACTACTTCCGGTCAACGGAAATTACTCAAAATTTAACAGAAGGTAGAGAATTAGATTTTATACTTACATGTGAAATTTCATTTATCTATCTGAAATAGTACTCAAGTTATAGGCTTTTGAAAAATTCAAAGTAGAAAAAGTACCACTTCCGGTTATCGGAAATCGCTCAAAAGTTGATACGGATCTACGATTTTGATAAAATACCTATATATGAAATTTCATCAACCTAGCTGTAACGGTACTCAAGTAATCTTGTTTACACACAGACAGACAGACAGACACACAGACATACGGACAGAATTGCAAAGCCCAGTTTTTCAGACTGGATTACGCATAAAACCTCTTAATTTTGATAAATCTGGATTGATAATTTTTGCCCGATTAAAATAAGTCCTCTATACTTCGGATGTGATGAAGGACTGAGGTGTAATACGGTAAAAATTGTTAAAATTTCAAGTGATTTTTGTGCACGATTACAATACTTTCTCTATACTATAACAAAAATCTTATAGGACTATTACAGCACCGTTCCTTGGGACCACCGAGATATTTTTAGAGGGCCCACCAGGATTTTTCTCCGGTAGACCGACGGGCCAGTACACCCCTGGGTTGAATGACCTGGGTCTTTAAATTTCTATGAGGTGGTTAGTGTATGTGCTGGTTCCATAGGCATCCACAGCTCTAAGTCGTATCGATATATAACCCTCCATATAAAGCTGTCTAACAGTACAAAAGTGTCGACAATTTGTCTACGCTTTGTTAAACAATTTTCATATTGCCTCTTTGCTTTTTTTCAAGTTTTAAATTTTTCTAATTTTCCTAATATCCGCTAAATCAAAAGAAACACAATAGCTTATTTCGCTACACTATACGACTGAAACTTCTTTTAGCGATTATCAAAATTAAAAAAAAACGGTTCGAATTTGTTAATTAATTAAATTCAAACAAATCATCAGCTGTATCAGGTATCGGGAAAATATACTTCTCTCCCGTCTCTGATATGAAAAGACCACGCCATGTCATGTCTCATAAAGCACGTTGTAATCAATAAAAATGTGCCCTAGGCTATGCATTAACCTTAAAGCAGCCATGACAATGATACCGTGGTTGAATCAGTGGGTAAAACTTCTTGGAGAACAATCGCCTACATGAAAAATTTCTTTTTACACACCAATCGTACATCTTTCTTTTTGTAATAAATCATACACACAAACATCCAATTCACATTCAAACCCTCATCAATTTACTAATTACTAATATTAATTATATATTTTTAAAATCTTTAAATAAGTCATGTAGACGTGAGCTAATTAAAGTACTGTACCAAATATATTTTCTTTTAAATCTTTAAGTAAGTCATGTAGACGTGAGCTAATTAAAGTACTGTATCAAATATATTTTTTTTAAATCTTTAAGTAAGTCATGTAGACGTGAGTTAATTAAAGTACTGTACCAAATATCTATATATATAATTCTCTTCTTGGAGACCCTAGAAAACAAGCTGTAAGCGCGCCTTGCAGTCCCCTCTCATGTAGACGTGAGTTAATTAAAGTACTGTACCAAATATATTTTTTAAATCTTTAAATAAGTCATGTAGACGTGAGTTAATTAAAGACATGTAGACGTGAGTTAATTAAAGTACAGTACCAAATATATATTTTTTTAAATCTTTAAGTCATGTAGACGTGAGTTTATTAAAGTCATGTAGACGTGAGCTAATTAAAGTCATGTAGACGTGAGCTAATTAAAGTCATGTAGACGTGAGCTAATTAAAGTCATGTAGACGTGAGCTAATTAAAGTCATGTAGACGTGAGCTAATTAAAGTCATGTAGACGTGAGCTAATTAAAGTCATGTAGACGTGAGCTAATTAAAGTCATGTAGACGTGAGCTAATTAAAGTACTGTACCAAATAGGTCAGGCCAGGTATATTTCTTAATCTGCTCCTCGGTCAAGGTCAACAGGTGGTCATAGTAGATCTTGATCTCCACTCTACTGCCCCTGCAGTGTGAGGAGAAGGTAAGGTGTAGGTAAATGATGCAAAAACTATGGGTAGAATGTTTAAACTATGGGTAGAATGTTTAAACTATGGGTAGATTGGGTAAACTATGGGTAGATTGGGTAAACTATGGGAAGATTGGGTAAACTATGGGTAGATTGGGTAAACTATGGGTAGAATGGGTAAACTAAGGGTAGATTGGGTAAACTATGGGTAACATATGGTCAAACCATTGGTAAGGATAAAGTAAGAGTAAAATATTGATAAATTATTGATAGAATAGGTAAATTATGAGTAAGGCATGGTTAAACTATGGGTAAGTATGGACAAAGTAAGAGTAAAGTATAGATATATTTTGGGTAAAGTAAAGATAAAGTATGAGTAATTATAGCTTAATTACTGGTAAATATTGATAAAGTAAGGGTAAAGTATTAGTATACTTTTATGTAAAGTATTAGTAAGAATGGATGAAGTGTGGGTAAGTAATATGTAAAGAATTGGAAAATCAAGGATAAAGTAATGGTAAATTATAAATAAAGTATGTGTACAGTATTTGCAGAGTATGGATAAAATAGTGGTTATGTATAAGATCATACACATTGCTTATAATATAAAATAAAAGTGATAGATGTTTAAATCACTCTACCCCCATAAAACGCTATTTAACAGTTCCGTCAGAGGGTGTAATGTCTTACTCAACTTTTTTTTATATTGGACAAATGGTAAGATATAGAGGTAATTGACTTAGGGGTAATGTTTTATTTTAAAAAGTGGGTAAAATATAGAGGTAATTGACGTGGGGGTAATGACGACGAAATGACCCAGGTCTAATTGCCCAGGGGGAAGTGGGGGCAATGTCCTACTACAGTATGTTTTGCATTTGGCATTGGGTGAGATACAGAGGTAATTGACTTAAGTATATTGTTTTATTTTGGAAAGTGGATATAATATACAGGTAAATAAGAGGTTTGGGGGGGGGGGTAATGTCGTTTGATCGACCAGGATGTATAGGACAGGGGGTAATGTCCTACTCCCTTAGAACCTAAATACACACATTTGACTGGATTTTTATTTTAAATTAACTGTTTACAGCTAAAAATAATTCTTTCTCACCTTTTCTGAGTCGAGTTTTTGTCGTAGTTTGGGAAGGCGGCTGTGGATATCCTTCCGGTGTATTCCACTTTGTTGCATGGCAACGGACATGCGCAATCAGTGCTATTAAATGGCGACTTGATTTGGAAGTTTCCTTGCAAAAACATTTTGACAAAAAAATAAAACGGGAAATAGATCTACATAAAAACAGGAATCCGGAGATAAAATTGAACTATATTTTGATTTAGCGAATTAAATATTTTTAAAATAAACTTGAGCAGTAAAGACAAAGGCTTTGTCTATTTTAAGATTCATGTGTTACATAGGACTTTACGTTTTTACGTTCTCCAACTTCTCCCCCTGCCAATACACACACACATGTCTCAAGCTAGAATTTTGTTTGAAATTTTTTTTGTAATCGTGATCTCAACTTATGTATTTAAAAAGTAATAAAACCATCTCCAATTACCTTTAAAATGAACTACAGGTAGCGAAACAATGGACTCTAATGAGCTCTAAGGTGTGAACTAATAAGCTTTTAAATCTAAAAAAATTAAAAGTTTACTCCGAAAAGTACTACAGCTTACTCCAAACGTTTTTTACTGGATCAATTTAAAAATGCATTCTTCCGTTATTGATGTTGTTTTTTTTTTAAATATTTACAATGATAACATTTAATTAAACCTTAAGGGTTTGATTATATATATTTCTAGATGGTTCTTCTTATACATATTATGAGAACTGTATGAGCCAGTGCTTGTTTTATGGATATATAAGTCAGCTATTCTTTTATGGATGTATGATCCAGCACTTGTTTTATGGATGTATGATCCAGCACTTGCTTTATGGATGTAAAAGTCAGTACTTGTTTTATGGATGTATGATCCAGCACTTGCTTTATGGATGTAATAGTCAGTACTTGTTTTATAGATGTATGAGCCAGCACTTGTTTTATGAATATATGAGCCAGCAATTGTTTTATGAATGTATGAGCCAGCACTTGTTTTATGAATGTATGAGTCAGCACTTGTTTTATGAATATATGAGTCAGTATGAGTCAGCTCCTGTTTTATGGATATGTCAGCTATGTAATTATCACACTCGTACTTACTTGATTCTGTCAGATAGCATGTTCTGAACTCTTCTATGGTACAGATCGAGACGTTGTGTACTGCTGGAGATGTAAGAAAAATATTAGCGCATCGATACCCATGTCTTCACTACGGGGGTAATGCAGTATCGATTTCTGCTAGTATCGCAATTGGGTAAAAATCACTGGTTGTCGTTTAAACTTTCAGATATTAACTGGACCACACATATATTATATATATATATATATATATATATATATATATATATATATATATATATATATATATATATATATATATATATATATATATATATATATTTAAAGGCCGACAGTACAAACGGCCGACAGGACAAAAGACCGACATAGGCATAAGGCCTACATAAATGATGCACACATCAGTATGAGATTCAATGAAAGCGGCCCTCCTAGGGTCTACCAAATATTAACAAAACAAGGACTTACACGGGTCGCCGTCGTGGATGAGACATTTGCAAACCTTCAGGATATGAGACAGTCTGCATTCAGCAAGACACCAGCTGTAGCCGGTGTGGTTGTAGAATCGAGGCGTATAGACAGGGCTGTTAGTTTCATCGTATTTCACACAGTGCTCAGTGCCGTAGGCTTTGTAAGGTCCATCTAGATACTTAAACTGTGGACAAATTGTAAGGTCTTTTTGGAAACTTATACTGTGGACATATTGTAAGGTCTGGGTAGAAACGTATACTGTGGACATATTGTAAGGTCTGTCTAGAAAGTATGCTGTGGACATACTGTAAGGTAAACACATTAAACAATATATATATATATATATATATATATATATATATATATATATATATATATATATATATATATATATATATATATATATATATATACAATAACACGAAATCGGTACATAAAAATATTGTTTATATTATTTTTTAAAGATTGATTTTATGATTCGCACACACAGAAAATAGAAAAAAAAACATATACTCCGCCCACCAACCCAATCCCTTTCAGAATATTTTTAGAACGCCTACGGCCTGTACACGCACGCGATAAACATTTTTTCTTTATTCTACGAATCTACGTCACGTGCTAAACAAAAAGTTGACAAATTGTATTTTTATTAAGCCAAGTTTTTGATTGCCTAATACAGGGGTCTCCAAACTACGGCCCGCGGGCCGGATGCGGCCCGCGAAGTCCTCTCATCCGGCCCGCGGAGATCTTTTTTTGGTGATGATGCGGAACTTTGTCCAGAAAATTAAAGACATACCTGGAAGAAACTGGCCCCCGAACTAAAATTTGATAGTTAATGCGGCCCTCTGACTGAAAACTTTGGAGACCCCTGGCCTAATACATAGAATCTACGGCCAAAAACTGATTTCTATCCAGTGACCTTTTGAACTTTGGCCATTGGTTGTTCTCCTAGTGAAGTTTAATTTCTTCACAGCAACTAATCCGATAAACTGATTCGAATTAAATTAAACTAGGAGATAAGCGTGGTCGGGTTGGTTAAGCCAATGGTTATGAACCGAAAAGTCCTAAGTTCGAACCCCCGGGGCAGATCTGGCTCGATAGCTGGGGGACAGCAGAACTGTGTGGACCTAGGCACGTCTAAAGGTCTTAAAACCGATATTCTTTGACGTCACTAGGTGGGTAACAGTCAGTATGAGTATGGCGAGATGTAAAAGTAAAGTTCTCTTTTCAAACTTGGCGGTCTATGGGGCAAGTGAAGTAGAGTTCACTTGTTTCTGTGACCTCGGCTTATAAAGAGATAGTGTGGTCTGCACTATGCCCAGCCGCCTTTACTTTCCCTAACGTGAATAGGGTACCTATAAGAGTTGGGTGGACTCAGGGACGGCCTACTGACTTGAACCCGGATTCGAATTCTGGGTGTATTGGTGTAAAATATGGACACATAATGTCACTAGCATCCGGTAAGGTGTCTATTAGTATATATTAAATAATTTATTGTGCTAATTGGACACCGCAGGCTTTCTCATCAAAATTAATTTTAAAAACGTTGGTGTCTCCTTCTCCCCCTCCCAACTTTGGATGGCGTCCCCTTGTGGCGGAATGGTCCCTAAGTTATGTGACGCTACTTCTAGTATCAAGACTTGCGTTAAGCTTTCATTAACTTTACAACTACACTTCGCCCTGACCCGTCCGTCGACTCCCCCCCCCCCCCCCCTTTGTCTATTACCTCTCTCCTGTCTACAGCAATCAAGACTGAAGCATCCGGTGCCACAAGCATCCCGTTTTCATGCGTGTTGGGGTAGTCTGTGGAGTTGTGTAGAATTACCTGCAGCAGAAATATGTGAACACGTTACAAAACATGGTACAGTTGAGAATCACCTGTAGCAGAAATATGTGAACACGTTACAAAACATGGTACAGTTGTGTAGAATCACCTGTAGCAGAAATATGTGAACACGTTACAAAACATGGTACAGTTGTGTAGAATCACCTGTAGCAGAAATATGTGAAAACGTTACAAAACATGGTATAGTTGTGTAGAATCACCTGCAGCAGAAATATGTGAACACGTTACAAAACATGGTACAGTTGTGTAGAATCACCTGCAGCAGAAATATGTGAACACGTTACAAAACATGGTACAGTTGTGTAGAATCACCTGCAGCAGAAATATGTGAAAATGTTACAAAACATGGTACAGTTGTGTAGAATCACCTGTAGCAGAAATATGTGAACACGTTACAAAACATGGTACAGTTGTGTAGAATCACCTGCAGCAGAAATATGTGAACACGTTACAAAACATGGTACAGATGTGTAGAATCACCTGTAGCAGAAATATGTGAACACGTTACAAAACATGGTACAGGTGTGTAGAATCACTTGCTGCAGAAATATGTGAACACGTTACAAAACATGGTACAGTTGTGTAGAATCACCTGCATCAGAAATATGTGAACACGTTACAAAACATGGTACAGTTGTGTAGAATCACCTGCAGCAGAAATATGTGAACACGTTACAAAACATGGTACAGTTGTGTAGAATCACCTGTAGCAGAAATATGTGAACACGTTACAAAACATGGTACAGATGTGTAGAATCACTTGCTGCAGAAATATGTGAACACGTTACAAAACATGGTACAGTTGTGTAGAATCACATGCAGCAGAAATATGTGAAAACGTTACAAAACATGGTACAGTTGTGTAGAATCACCTGCAGCAGAAATATGTGAACACGTTACAAAACATGGTACAGTTGTGTAGAATGACCTGTATCAGAAATATATGAAAACGTTACAAAACATGGTACAGCTTAGAATCACCGGTAGCAGAAATATGTGAAAACGTTACAAAACATGGTAAAGTTGTGTAGAATCACCTGCAGCAGAAATATGTGAACACGTTACAATACATGGTACAGTCCTAGACAACGGGAAAATACATTCTGCCAGAGTTTCTTTCAGGCATCTCTTCGGCGGTAGACTTTCTTCGCCCCCATCCCTCCATGAACGAAATGGAATATATTTAGAAAATATATACTTTTAACAGTATCCGCCGCCCCCCCCCCCCCCCCCACCCGGAGGAGAAAAAAGTCTGGAAGAAGTACTGCATACTACAACCTTCCAATGGATTTTGACGTTGGGTGAAATTTTATATCAATTAGCAGTTTGACCTGGGAAATATTAATCCATAATTATTTACAAGGTTTTTTGATATTTATTTTTATAATCTCTAATTTATTTCAATCCTGAGGTTGTGTGATTTTTTAAACAAATTTAAATTAAATTTCTAAAACAATTAGTTCAAGTTGTCTATTTAATATTATTAGATATTATTCTCAACCATTGCATTTTAACCTACAAGATAATTATATATAAATATATATAATATATAAAGCTCAGTTCTGTATGTAAAAATAAATATGTTTGTCGTTGGTCTTGGATGGATTTAAGTGTTAGACAATTATCGTGCGCATTTGTCTAAATTTATGAGTTTAAAAATTACCATTGAAAGTGTTGGGAAATAATTTTCATTTTTCAAATTAGAGTAATAATTGTCGGCATGTTCATTAAACACAAGTTTTAAAAAAATATCATCTTTTACAAACATTCTAATTATGTCTTTATTTAGTCCTATAGCACTTACTTCCCTTTGATAAATTAGGAAAACACAATTACTTCCCTTTATAAAACCATTGCATTTAGTGGAAAAGAATTTACTTTTTATTACTTTGTTTTGGTGTTGGGAAAAAAAAATAATTACATAATTAGCGGGGATTGATCAAGTGCAAATGTTGTAGGTATTTTACGGATAAGCTTGGAGTATTAAAATTGTTCATTAAATTGAAACAGGCGCGTTCGTTTAAGTGAGTGCAAAAGACTATGAATAAGTTGGGGTACTATAGTCGTTCATTAAGCTAAAACAGGTGATTCCGCCCCGGGCGTTTATGTTCGCGTTAGTGTTTTCTTTGTGTTTAGGTGGGTTTGCGTTAGTGGTTGCGTTTTGATTTGGTTCGTTTTTGTTCTTTCTTTTTTCGTTTTTGTTTGGGTTTTTTTTGTTTGGGTTTGTATTTGTGTTTTTGGTTGGTTTTGCGTTTGGATTTGGTTTGTTTTCGTTTGCTTTTTCGTTTTTTTTTTTGTTTTTTTTTTTGTTGGTATTGGTGTTTGTGGTTGGGTTTGTTGTTAGGTTTTTGTTTTCGTTTGCTTTTTTGTTTGTTTTTTCTTTGTGTTTGTATTGGTGTTTGTGGTTGTGGTTGGGTTTGTTGTTAGGTTTTTGTTTTCGTTTGTATTTGTAATTGTGTTAGCGTTATGTTTGCGTTTTGTTGTTTTGGTTTTGGTTGGTTGTGGTTTGGGTGGGCAATGCCGGGTTTATGATGATTACTAAACACACAGGTGATGGTCTTTAACAGAAAGGTTTTTCACAGAAGCCAGAGCAGGGCCTGGCCGGGACGGCTATTAAATATATATATATATATATATATATATATATATATATATATATATATATATATATATATATATATATATATATATATATATATATATATATATATATATATATATATATATATACATATATATATATATATATATATATATATATATACATATTTTTTTTATTTTAATTATATATAGATTTCTGTATAGATTTCTGACAGTAAGTTATATATACCTTGACCCCTACTGGGGTTACACTGCTGAATGGGTCGACGACACTGCCAATATCTAGAACCAAATGCAGGCTGCTGTAGCTCCCTCTTTGTTCAGCGCACACAGTGTTCTCTGTGTTAAAATTAAAACTAAAACAACTCTCCGGTCCGGACATCGTCCTATGATTTTAAAAAAAAATATACAATCGTATTAAAGTATGTTGGGGTTACTCTATTCGTTTTTATTAAGAGGGACATCAACAGCTGGTTCAAACACGGCAATAAATACTGGAACTACGATTCACTGACTCAATGGCCTCAATGGCGCATAAGCAGTTGACACGTATACTTAATTGTGGTGGAGGGAATCCCTTCCAACACTAAAATTAAGAACGCAGAAGAAGAAGATTCACTGACTGAATTCATCAACTTTTCTCAGGCCCCATGGTAGAGTTTACGCTTCAATGAACTCAGTAAGTATGGGGGTAGTGTGGTCAGTAATATGCACAGCCACCTTAGTTTTCCAAAACGTGATTCAGGTATCCATCAGAACTAAGTGGATTCAGAAAGGTCTTGCGGACTAGATTGTGGAATCCGAACTCGAGACATTTGGGTCAGCAGTCGTTCTCTCAAACACCCGACCACTTCTTCCTATATTAACTAAATAAAATACATTTTAAAAGGAATGCGGTAAAATGTTATAGGGTAAAATAAATTTATAGTGAAGTAGAGTTCACATATTTCTGTGAAGGGATAGTGTGGTCAGCACTATGCCAAGCCGTCTTTTACATTCACTATCGGGACGTTCTACTGACTTGAACCCGGATTCGAACTCTAGAGTCGAGTTAGCAGTCTAGCGCTCTACTGCTATGCCACGCCGTCCCATAAAAAGGCATGTAACCCTACACCATATACATTCACACTTTAAAAAATAAATCGTTCACTGATTATCTAAACAGTAGAGTTACTATTTTAAATTTTCATCATGGAAACGAAACTAAAAATATTTAATAACGCCTCTTTTTAACACCCCCACTCCACCATACAGTAATACCAGCGGTCAGTGAATTAACAGTTAAATATACCTTCTTCTTCTTCTTCTTTGTTCTTAACTTTAGTGTTGAAAAGGATTCCCTACAACACAACTAAGTATGCGCCATTGAGGCCATTGACTCCGATTTCAGCCTGCTTTTCTTTTTGGATTTGCTTCCATAGCCTTTGTCCAACCAAGAACAAACTACAAGGCAGCAGTTGTTTGATTTTGGAGTTGTGTCTCCTAGAAGAGTGGCTGTCCCCAGCTAACGAGCCTCATCTGTCCGACTCGACCACGCCGACCCCTTAAATCTAGCCAACTCAAGCTTAAAGTCACGTGGTACTAACACTCTCCCACACCGCAAATACTGTTCCCATAATGGCCACGCCCCTGACCTACCTCGTGAAGATATCGGAGCAGTTCACTGACTTCGTGAACAGGGTACAATTGAGAAGAAATCGGTCCAGGCCCCAGCCAATCAAATCACTCAACGTTTTTGTATCCAGTGTGTCAGACACCTGACGCGAGGTGTTGACGGTCGAGTCTGAAGAGATGGAATCCTGGAATATTTCACACATGGCATTTTCAACTCAGATGTTTCACTGTAATTCTCAATTCTGGTCGCATTGTAGAATAAAGCGGGAGTGATCTCCCCAAAATTTTCTCAAATATACTTATATAACACTACTGGGGTTGGCAACTCCGGATTTTGACATGACTTTTAATACATTTTTAATAAATGAAAGTATTTATAATAGAATAGAATCTCGTAGTAAAAGAATTGCGCAACAAGTGAACAACAAACAATTTGTGTATAATAATCCGGAAATAGCGTAAAGTACTAACTCCAGTAAATCGAACTTATCTGTGAAATTTCGTATACATATCTGAAACAACACTCAAGTTATAGATTTTTGAAAAACCAAAAGTAGAGTAAGTTCCACTTTCAGTTACCGGAAATCGCTGAAAAGTTTATAAAAATTTGATATAATACCTTCAAGTAATCTAACACCTCTTTTTATGTAGATTCTATTATCGTGGCTTTATCTGACAAAGGTATAACACACACCTCATAAATTCTAGCGGCATTGTAGAAAAAACGAGCTGTTTTAATAATGTCAGTAAGGCAATGTAGACGTAGTTTGGGTAATGATCGAAATATTAGATAAACGTCCGAGTTGGGATTAAAATAAGGGACAGAACTACCTTGAAAATTCTCTAGATAATTTGTGATGACGGTTATTGCAACTGTTATGGTTAGGGATAACATGAGTTGGTGTTATTGTTAGGGATAGAATTAGGGTTTTAGTGTTAGGGCTAGGATTAGGGTTAGGGTTAGGGTTATAGTAGTGATAATAGCTGGTTTACTGCTTCAGAAGTAGTGCTAGATAATAAGTAAAATTAATTAAATGGAAGTTTTTTTTTTAAATTAAAGTGTTTTGTTTTCACATATAATATTACCAAAAACAAAATAACCTCTTAACGCTAATGAACCTTAACGTTAAACTGAGTGCGTACGTCTCAGAAAAAAAATGTAAGACTCCAGCCTAAATCAAACTAATGTTTTTTAACACAATATTTTTTAAACAAATAAAGGGAAACTATCTTGAATTATATTTAAGCATTATAAATGTTTTTAATTCCCTTTATTTCCAGTAGCTCTATATTTTTAGTTGAACTCTTTGAGTCTGTTTCATCGAAACCCTTGTTCCTAGAGGATTTATTTGAGATTTATTTATCTCGCGTGTATGATTTTAGGTGACTTTCTTCTTGTGCGGGTATAATATTTTGAAATATCCAGCATCTCACGAACAAATAGTTGGGCAAAAATTTATCCGAAGACTAACTTGCAGCGGGGAATAATTACGTTGATCAGGCATGATGAGTTCATGCGTTTGATTTTAATTGAATTTTTTTATAGAGATACTTAATTAAACTAACACAGTTACTTCCTTTAAACCAACGACTTAAAAACTTAATCTTGGGGTGGGCGTGGTCGAGTCGGTAAAGCTCATGGCTGCTAAACCGGAAAGTCCCCCGGATAGATGAGGGTCAATAGCAGGGGACATAAACCCATCTATGAGAGACAACTCGAAAATGAAAACAACTGCTGCCTTGTAGTTTGTTCTTGGTTGGACAAAGGCTATTGAAGTAAATATCCAAAAAGAAAAGCAGGCTGAATTATCAATGATCTGCCTTTATGGTGCCTAACATATTGACACAGTACTTAATTAAGTTGTAGGGGATCCCGTTTCTCATTACAATTAAGCTCAACCATTGAGCCATACAGCACATAACATGTTGACTTGTAATACATAAATGTGTTGTAGGGGATCCCGTTTCTCATTACAATTAAGCTCAACCATTGAGCCATACGGCACATAACATGTTGACTTGTAATACATAATTGTGTTGGAGGGGATCCCGTTTCTCATTACAATTAAGCTCAACCATTGAGCCATAACGCACATAACATGTTGACTTGTAATACATAATTGTGTTGGAGGGGATCCCGTTTCTCATTACAATTAAGCTCAACCATTGAGCCATACGGCACATAACATATTGTTTTGTAATGCATAATTGTGTTAGAGGGGATCCCGTTTCTCATTACAATTAAGCTCAACCATTGAGCCATACGGCACATAACATGTTGACTTGTAATACTTAATTGTGTTGGAGGGGATCCCGTTTCTCATTACAATTAAGCTCAACCATTGAGCCATACGGCACATAACATGTTGACTTGTAATACTTAATTGTGTATGAGAATATCCAGAACTACATTACATTGGGCACATAACACGCTGACTAGAAATACTTTTGTTGGAAGAAATCCCGACCGACATTACAAAATCACGAAGAAGATTGCCTGCATTTTTTTTTAATTTCCGTTATAGACAGTGTTACATCCAGACTTTTTTCTGCGGAGTGGGGGGGGACTAAATTTTCCGGGGGGTGGACTAAATTTTCCGGGGGGGGGGTCGGACACTGGCAAAAGTATATATTTTCTATATAAATTCTATTTGCATAAAGAGTGGCGGTAGACTTTCTACGGGGGAGCTCCGCCCCCCCCCCCCCCTCCCCCCGAAGAGATGCCTGGAAGAAACCCTGTTAAAGACTGAACTACCTTTGTGAAGAGATGCATCAGCTCCGGTGTGTAGTTCTCTAAAGCCGTGCCGTCTATCCTGCTCGTGTCGTATGGCGCCAGGTTACACACTGTGACGGCGGGGAAGGGGACGCTGCGGCCCGGCTCTGACCGGATGCTGGTGCTGAACGCGTACATGTCCGGAAGGACGAGATCTAGCATATTGATCAGGGATACGACGACGCACAGAATTGCAAAGGCCCACAGGATTCTGCGAGGAGTGAATAAAAGGGATTATTAGTTAGCTGATCAAGTTATAACAATAAACATGTATTTGAAATACAAAACGGAATATACAAAGGGAAAAATTAATGGTATAATAAAGCGTAAATAAAAATTCAAATAGGGCCTACATGTAAAATGCACATTCAATATACAATTTATTTATTTTAAAAAAGGGGGTGTCTATCAATGAGTGACGGAGTGGTCTAGCGGCAGAGAGCTGGACTGCTAACCCGTAAGTCTCGAGTTCAGTAGACCGTCCCTGAGTCCACCCAACTCTGATGGGTACCTAACTCACGTTAGGGAAAGTAAAGGTGGCTGGGCATAGTGCTGACCACACTATCTCTTCATATGCCGAGGTCACAGAAACAAGTGAACTCTTCTTCACTTGTCACATAGACCGCCAGGTTTGAAAGGGAAACTTTACTTTTTTTTTTACTATCAATGAAGTCACACTTTTAAAATGAACGGCTGAAATTAACTTTGTAACGTTACTTTATTTAATACACAAATGTGTACTCACACTTTCTAAACTACACCTCCCCTCACATTACAAATCGTTACTAAAGTCTGCCCCCCCCCCCCCCACACACACACACCTTTACCCTTTGTTCCTCATATATGACGTCGTTTATGAACGATTTCTGGGAGGTTATATTGTGGGAGCTAAGGAGTTAAAAAAACTTCTTTGTATTCTCCCGAATCCTATTTATAAAATAAGGAAATACAAGCGGTTTGAAAGAAAGAATTCGCTGTCGTACATTAACATTGATTTGATTTGATTCACAATCTCCGCCCTCCCACCAGCAAACTATATTTGTAACTATTCCACGTTCTAATTGAGATAGTAATGAATCAACGCTACTGTATTTACTATGGTAGTTTTACTTTAACCACCCTTACTTCCTAATTCTGTCAAAATTGTGACAGTATTAAATCATCGGCAGGTAAAATACCAACATGATTTAAGACCTCCACCCCCCTCGAATCATTTTATAGTTCAGTCACTGAGAAATCAACACTAGATAACTATACCAAAGCGGTTTAACCACCCATATTCCCTAGTTTAGTCACTGAGAAATCAACACTAGATAACTATACCAAAGCGGTTTAACTACCCATATTCCCTAGTAATGTCACAGTATTATGAACACAAAGTAAAATTACTAAGTACTTCAACGACCACCCCCCCCCCCCCACTTCCTAATATTGTTACTGCTAGGTCAGTTTTAAATCACTAATAATAACCAGGTAGTTTACCACCCACCCACCCCCTTCCCATCCCCACTATCTTACGATAGTATTAAACAAACACCATGTAAAACTATCAAGGTAGTTGAACTCACCTGCACTTGCTAGTAATAAACAAACACCACGTAAAACTATCAAGGTAGTTGAACTCACCTGCACTTGCTAGTAATAAACAAACACCACGTAAAACTATCAAGGTAGTTGAACTCACCTGCACTTGCTAGTAATAAACAAACACCACGTAAAACTATCAAGGTAGTTGAACTCACCTGCACTTGCTAGTATTAAACACGACGTAAAACTATCAATGTAGTTGAACTCACCTGCCCTTGCTAGTATTAAACTTGCACCACGTAAAACTATCAAGGTAAATGAACTCACCTGCACTTGCTAGTATTAAACAAACACCATGTAAAACTATCAAGGTGAATGAACTCACCTGCACTTTACAGCTCGTCGCGTGGAGGTGGTCCTCTTGTACCCGTGAGCAGTTGTCTCCCCAGCAAATTCTAGCAGGACGTCCTTAACTTTCGCCTTGTACTCCAGCCAAAACGTCTCTTCTTTCGTCTCCGGCGTTGCTGTATCTATGTCAATACGTGTTTCTTGCACGTCTTTAGTGAATAACTCTTTGTTGTTTAAAATTGTAAATGAAAGTGGCTGTTCTGTTGAACTAATATTACATTCGTCGTGTTTTTCTGAAAAATAATTTAGTTCTTGATTTTCATCGACGGATCCTGTTATTTTAGACTTATGAACATGGACGCATTTCAACAGTTGATTCTCTTCGTCTTTGCATTGTTTATAGTATGGATATATCGTCATCGGTTCTTGAGCATGCGCCTGGTTAGTTAGAAAGACGATTTCCGTTTGTCCTAATTGGAATTGTTTAGAAATGATGTAAAGTCTTGAACCAGGATCCGTCACTTGCGTTTCCATTATTGGCATAATACGATTAACGCAGTTAATACTTATACAAAACTCCAAAATTAAACAACTGCTACCTTGTAGTTTTTGTTGTTGTTTTTCTGAAAAAAGAAAACAAATCTAGAAAGAAAAGCAGGCTGAAATCAGAGTCGACGGCCTATGTAGAGAATATTAACTTGTTGACACATATTACTCGTGTTGAAGAAGATCATCTCCAGTATTAAAATTAAGAACAAAAAAAAAAGAAACAAGACTCCTTATAGTAAAAATACACCACTTGTTAGCATTGTTGTTGAGTATTGTATAAATGTCCTATCACTAAAACTGTATCTTGCACAAGTAAGAAGATTATACCCGATTGTGATGCTATTCTTCGAACTTTACAATCACAGCAGTGAAGAAATATAAATATCTAATTTACTAAAGTAGAACATCACGAAAATAAACACGTGTTTTATATATAGGGCGAATTAAACGACCATTCCTGGGCCTAATTGAATTACTTTAAGTATGATAATTTATGTAAATTAGACGTACGATAATGTCAAAACATTGGGTACAAAAAAAATCTCTGAGTGTATTTACGTCACGTGGTATGAGTCATTAGTTTCTGTTTTATCAACCTCAGTTATTTAAATCTTTGTGTAAGATGGTGAACTTTGGTGGGGGAAGGTTTTTGTAAGTACAAAAGTTCGTTTGTTTTTTTTTTACTTTTTTTTTTGCTTAAGCATAACTTTTTTTTTAATATTCTACTAAAAATGTATTTTTATTCTCGTACTTTGAAATCCAGAATCCATTGTTAAGGGAGAATTTCGTTTTACTTTTACTTTCATTTTGTGTTCCTTTTTTTTTTAGATCAAAGTCCGCCTTAAATAACATATTTAATCCGTGGACATTAAGCGAAATGGTATTGATAGCTTACAGAAGCCGACATTCTTAAAAGTCGTAACATTAGAGTAGCCAGCCTTGTATTAATGTCCTCTACTAAATAGTAAGAACGTCTCGAGTTCGTATCCCGTATTCACTTTAGAGGACGTCTTTAGTTTACTCAGCTCTAATCAGTACTGAACTTACGCTATGGGAATTAAGACGGTTGAGCTAAGTTCTAACCATACTTGGTCTTTATATGCATCATTTGAACTACACGCTGTAAAACGTAAACAAAAGATAAATTATGTGAACATCAGTGTTAAGTTTTGTGACAGTAAAGGTTTCTTACTGCACAGTCTAAAGGGCAGGATAGGAGAGGAATAAACGAACTTTGACCTTTTACTAACTGGTGTTGGGATTCTTCTGGGTGCAGGATTAAATATAGGGCTAGCGAGGCCATGGTCTAAGGGCCCCGAGTGTTACAGAGACCACTATTATTTTAATGAGTAAAAATGTTACAAATGAAATATGTTTAAAGTGTAACTTTTAGAACTTCACAGCTTGAGTAGCCGATAGTTTGCGGTTATTCAATATGGCTGTAAATATTGTATAAGCCTTTAGTCACAACCTAAACCAATGTAGGTTTTTATTGTATAAAGGGCCGTGCATAAATTACGATACACACCCAAGATAAGGGGAAGTCGTTAGATTTAAGAGATTGTGTTTTACATATGTTTGGTAAGGGGTTAAACTCTGATTCGTTGATTGTATTTTAATTCTTAATGATAAACATGCTGAATGACATGTGAAATATTATATTTTTTAAAAGTTAGGAAAATTGGTGATGTCATTTTTAGGTCGAGATTCGGATCTTTTTTTCTGTTTTTTTTTTCTCTTCTTTGCTCTCGTTTCTTGATGCGTTTTGTGTTTTTGCTTTTTTTTTTGGTTTCTGTGATAGTTGCATATGTCATTTTTTTTCATGGATAGGTTACTGACCTATTGTTAAGCCCCAATATCGGTAATGGGGCGCGGGGCATGGGAAGATGATTCACATACAAACTGCAGTATTCCAACGGTAAAACACACACTAAAATTTTCAAAAAATATTCACTCAATCAAACACAACGACCAAATCATTATATATTTATTAATACCAAGTTGTATGTATCATTCATTTGTTTTAATATCACTAGGCTACAGGGTGTCAGGGTCTATAGTGTACACAAGGCACTGCTCTCATAGATTCACGCAAGTTCTTGTTACTAACACTCGGTTATGTCCCCTTGGTATGGTTAACATATTTACAATCAAAACTTAAAATAAACATTTTATAATGAAATACAAATTTTATTCACTAAGAACAATGTTACTTTATGTTTTTTTCTTTTGAGTTACTGAGCAAATTTTTTTTTGTTTATTTAATTATGCATTATATTTCAATTTTCGGATTACTTCTTACAAATTAAGAAAAAGTATATATCATTTATAATCTGTTAAATTCAACAATATTTTTTTTAAATATGTTCAAGGCGTACAATCAAATTTTTGAAAATTTTCATCTTTGCCTTTGAACAATATTCATCGTATTTTTTCATTGTTCTATTACAAAGTTCAAAGAGGATGTTTTTGTATCGTATATAAATATACTTAAATTTTAAACTAAGCCAAAACATAATGCTATACTATCATGATACAACCGTGGGAGATGGAAAAGTTACATCCCATGGTCGTGCATCATCATGGTGGTTGTCGTGGGCGTAACGGTGGTCCCTGCGACGGGGTTGGTAACACCTGGGTTGGTAGAGCTGCAGGCATCCGGGCACGGGTTGGCATATCCGGAAACCCCATTGCACGCAGTGTCCATTGAGATTAACGAGATGGTGTTCGTGGTGTCTGATGTGGCGATGTCGTTGAGGTTGACGCTGCCGTAGAGGACCTGTGAAAGAGTGAATGGGTTTGTGTAGCAAGTTTTGTAAGCAATGTTACAATTATCGCAGTGTAGAACTTGTGAGTGAATGGGTTTTGTATCAAGTTTTGTAAATAGTGTTACAATATTCGTAGTATAGGACCTGTGAGAGAGTGAATGGGTTTTTGTATCAAGTTTTGTAAATAGTGTTACAATGGTCGTAGTATAGGACCTGTGAGAGAGTGAATGGGTTTTTGTATCAAGTTTTGTAAATAGTGTTACAATGGTCGTAGTATAGGACCTGTGAGAGAGTGAATGGGTTTTTGTATCAAGTTTTGTAAATAGTGTTACAATGGTCGTAGTATAGGACCTGCGAGAGAGTGAGTGGGTTTGTGTATCAAGTTTCGTAAATAGTGTTACAATGGTCGTAGTATAGGACCTGTGAGAGAGTGAGTGGGTTTGTGTATCAAGTTTTGTAAAGAATGTTACAATGGTCGTAGTATAGGACCTGTGAGAGAGTGAGTGGGTTTGTGTATCAAGTTTTGTAAATAGTGTTACAATGGTCGTAGTATAGGACCTGTGAGAGAGTGAATGGGTTTTTGTATCAAGTTTTGTAAATAGTGTTACAATGGTCGTAGTATAGGACCTGCGAGAGAGTGAGTGGGTTTGTGTATCAAGTTTCGTAAATAGTGTTACAATGGTCGTAGTATAGGACCTGTGAGAGAGTGAATGGGTTTTTGTATCAAGTTTTGTAAATAGTGTTACAATGGTCGTAGTATAGGACCTGTGAGAGAGTGAGTGGGTTTGTGTATCAAGTTTTGTAAATAGTGTTACAATGGTCGTAGTATAGGACCTGTGAGAGAGTGAGTGGGTTTGTGTATCAAGTTTTGTAAATAGTGTTACAATGGTCGTAGTATAGGACCTGTGAGAGAGTGAGTGGGTTTGTGTATCAAGTTTTGTAAATAGTGTTACAATGGTCGTAGTATAGGACCTGTGAGAGAGTGAGTGGGTTTGTGTATCAAGTTTTGTAAATAGTGTTACAATGGTCGTAGTATAGGACCTGCGAGAGAGTGAGTGGGTTTGTGTATCAAGTTTTGTAAATAGTGTTACAATGGTCGTAGTATAGGACCTGTGAGAGAGTGAGTGGGTTTGTGTATCAAGTTTTGTAAATAGTGTTACAATGGTCGTAGTATAGGACCTGTGAGAGAGTGAGTGGGTTTGTGTATCAAGTTTTGTAAATAGTGTTACAATGGTCGTAGTATAGGACCTGTGAGAGAGTGAGTGGGTTTGTGTATCAAGTTTTGTAAATAGTGTTACAATGGTCGTAGTATAGGACCTGTGAGAGAGTGAGTGGGTTTGTGTATCAAGTTTTGTAAATAGTGTTACAATGGTCGTAGTATAGGACCTGTGAGAGAGTGAGTGGGTTTTTGTATCAAGTTTTGTAAATAGTGTTACAATGGTCGTAGTATAGGACCTGTGAGAGAGTGAATGGGTTTTTGTATCAAGTTTTGTAAATAGTGTTACAATGGTCGTAGTATAGGACCTGCGAGAGAGTGAGTGGGTTTGTGTATCAAGTTTCGTAAATAGTGTTACAATGGTCGTAGTATAGGACCTGTGAGAGAGTGAATGGGTTTTTGTATCAAGTTTTGTAAATAGTGTTACAATGGTCGTAGTATAGGACCTGTGAGAGAGTGAGTGGGTTTGTGTATCAAGTTTTGTAAATAGTGTTACAATGGTCGTAGTATAGGACCTGTGAGAGAGTGAGTGGGTTTGTGTATCAAGTTTTGTAAATAGTGTTACAATGGTCGTAGTATAGGACCTGTGAGAGAGTGAGTGGGTTTGTGTATCAAGTTTTGTAAATAGTGTTACAATGGTCGTAGTATAGGACCTGCGAGAGAGTGAGTGGGTTTGTGTATCAAGTTTTGTAAATAGTGTTACAATGGTCGTAGTATAGGACCTGTGAGAGAGTGAGTGGGTTTGTGTATCAAGTTTTGTAAATAGTGTTACAATGGTCGTAGTATAGGACCTGTGAGAGAGTGAATGGGTTTTTGTATCAAGTTTTGTAAATAGTGTTACAATGGTCGTAGTATAGGACCTGTGAGAGAGTGAATGGGTTTTTGTATCAAGTTTTGTAAATAGTGTTACAATGGTCGTAGTATAGGACCTGTGAGAGAGTGAGTGGGTTTGTGTATCAAGTTTTGTAAATAGTGTTACAATGGTCGTAGTATAGGACCTGTGAGAGAGTGAGTGGGTTTGTGTATCAAGTTTTGTAAATAGTGTTACAATGGTCGTAGTATAGGACCTGTGAGAGAGTGAGTGGGTTTGTGTATCAAGTTTTGTAAATAGTGTTACAATGGTCGTAGTATAGGACCTGCGAGAGAGTGAGTGGGTTTGTGTATCAAGTTTTGTAAATAGTGTTACAATGGTCGTAGTATAGGACCTGTGAGAGAGTGAGTGGGTTTGTGTATCAAGTTTTGTAAATAGTGTTACAATGGTCGTAGTATAGGACCTGTGAGAGAGTGAGTGGGTTTGTGTATCAAGTTTTGTAAATAGTGTTACAATGGTCGTAGTATAGGACCTGTGAGAGAGTGAGTGGGTTTGTGTATCAAGTTTTGTAAATAGTGTTACAATGGTCGTAGTATAGGACCTGTGAGAGAGTGAGTGGGTTTTTGTATCAAGTTTTGTAAATAGTGTTACAATGGTCGTAGTATAGGACCTGTGAGAGAGTGAGTGGGTTTGTGTATCAAGTTTTGTAAATAGTGTTACAATGGTCGTAGTATAGGACCTGTGAGAGAGTGAGTGGGTTTGTGTATCAAGTTTTGTAAAGAATGTTACAATATTCGCAGTATAGGTCCTAAATACAATTATGTCTTGCTAATGTCAAGCAGGATGTTGATGTGTATAAACAGAGAGCAGGATGTTGATGTGTATAAACAGAGAGCAGGATGTTGATGTGTATAAACAAAGAGCAGGATGTTGAAGTGTATAAACAGAGAGCAGGATGTTGACGTGTATAAACAAAGAGCAGGATGTTGATGTGTATAAACAGAGAGCGGGATGATGATGCTACTCACAGCTCTAGTGAAGGCGTCCTGTTCAGTCAAGAACATGGTCAGACCCACGAGCTTGAAGTTCAGGTTCTTCATGAAGGCACCCAGGTTAAATTTACACCTGTAATCAACAATCAGATTTACTCGTCATTACAATAAGAATTGAGGGAAACAATTCACATTGCAAGATGAGGTTTTATATGCATATATATATATATATATATATATATATATATATATATATATATATATATATATATATATATATATATATATATATATATATATATATATATATATATATATATATATATATATATATATATATATATATATAAATATATATATATATATATATAATACATATATACATAGACATATGCTAATATGCATTTATATAGAAAATGTATTTATATACATATATATATATATATATATATTCATATATATATAAATATATATATATATATATATATATATATATATATATATATATATATATATATATATATATATATATATATATATATATATATATATAAACATATAGAGAGTGGTTTAAACTTTATAAATTTATGTATTTGTATATACTTATTATAAAGTGTGTGTATATGTTATTGTGCATATATACCAGCGACAATGCATTAAAAAACAACTCAACTGACCTAAGTGTGGTCCTGCTATCACATCCTGTACCAGTGTAAGACCACAAGGCCCCCGGGTCCACCCTGGACGGCTGACTCAGCAACAGGAACATCATGGTGCGCACGTCTTTCTTGATGGCCGGCAGGGGGGACAAGTACCCCCGGATGGTGTCCCCTGATGGGATGTCGTCGCCTGGTATGTTCACCACCTTTGTATGTACACATTTGAGATTATTGTTAGACTAGGGGTAAGAGCGATTGAATGCAGTGTCGTCATAAGGCGGGTATTGGGGTAGGGTAAACACCGGGTGACATCATTTGGAGGGTGACACCATTTAGCGGGTGACACCATTTAGAGAGTGACACTATATAGCGGGTGACACCATTTAAAGGGTTACACCATTTAGCGGGTGACACCACGTAGTAAAATTAAATTTCTGTCAAAACTATGTTTCTTCTTGTTAAAATAACAAAATAGTAAATGCAGTTGGCTGACACCAAACTGAAAATGCACAATTGTTAAACTGCTAGACAGCAAACACGAAAGTCAGAAGCACGTCCCTAAGTCCCTGAGTGTATTTGTACCTAACTCACATTATGAAAAGTAAAGGCGACTGGGCGTATGCCGAGTTCACAGAAACAAGTGAACTCTACCTCACTTGCCCCATAGACTGTCAGGTTCGAAAATTGAACTTTGATTTACTTTAAACGTCAAAACGGGTTTCTGTCAATATCGGTGCTTGAAAATCTCTGACGTGTACCTAACTCACGTTAGGGATAGTAATGGAGAGTAGGCATAGTACTGACCACACTATCCCTTCACATACAGAGGTTACAGAAATAGGTAAACTCTACTTCACTTGTCCCAATGGACCGTCAGGTTCGAAAAGAAAACCTTACTGTTTTGGTGTTTGAAAAAGATGGTGTAGTATGTACACCAGAATGGCATTAATAAGGAGAAGTGAAACATGGGATTTGGCCATGATGTTTGTAGTATGTGCACCAGAATGGCATGAATAAAGAGATGCGAAACATGGGATTTGGCCATAAAATACGTACCTGCCAATGGATAACAGTGTTGGGATTGCTGATGTTTGCTTTGGCCTCAGTCACGTCCAGCAAAAGCAGGGTATACAGCTGACCTGTGGTCAAGATCATATCATTAGCGGACAGTTAAATGTCACTTGTAGTGGTTTATTACTTTAATTGGTTCAGTTTAGATAATATCACATTTTAAAAAATATTATAATAAAGTAGGATTAATGGAAATGAAACGATACATTAAAATAGAAAGATTATTTTTAATTATTTCACTCTAAAAAGGGGAATAACCAATAAATTACTGTTTATATATTTTTCTTGAATTATCTACCCTTAATATGCACATTATTTTTAAAAAAACTTTTAAAGCTCAAATCAATAAATGGCAATAAATTTAAGCAGGTAATCTATCTATAAGAGAAAAAAAAATTAATTCATCTATTTCTTACGCTGTAGTTTGGGTTTTTTTTTCAAGCATGTATATATATATATATATATATATATATATATATATATATATATATATATATATATATATATATATATATATATATATATATATATATATATATATATATATATATATATATATATATATATATATATATATATATATATATGGCTCCACAGTCTTAGAACATTTGATGATTGCCTTTGGAAAATCAAGCAGAAAACCTGGGCTGTATGATTAGCAGGGCCAAATGCTGCCCATGTGTCAGACCCTCTCTCAATACAGCTGATAGACTTAAGTATATATTGTTTTTATTGTACTTAAACTCTATATCGAAGTAAATATTTAGTATAGAATTGCATTTCAAACTTTCGCATATGATTAAACGAGTGCTCAATTAAGAAACCATACCTCATTACTTAGTTGTTGTAGCCTTGTAACATTAGTAAATTGTGTCTTAAATTTTACTATAATGTAGGACTGACCTGTGACGGGTGTGGGCATGCGCATCTCAATCGGAAGTAGCTGAATGAAAGGCTGATTGCGGACGTGCAAGGGCATGAGGGTGGTGGTCGCAAGTGGGTCCACTCTTACTTCCACCATTCTGGTTTCATTATAAAACAAAAATAAAGCTTTAAAAAAAAAAAAAAAAAAAAAAAATAAACTCACAAGTTTGAATAATGTATTTTTTTTTAATGCATGCATCTATTTAAGTCTAACTCGCTTTGCAGTTTCGATCTATGACGAACGACAGAAGAAATCACGACAGGAGGGGCAAGTAAAATAAAAGCTTGTAAAAATTGAGTAAACGATGAATTTCTCGAAATAGTGCACCAAGCTCATAGCGGCAGATAAAACGCGAAGTCTTATTCCCGAACCCCAGGAAAAAAAATCTTTCATTTTCCGAGTTTAAAGTGACAAATGAGCTCTACTTAATTTTTCCCGGAGTGGTCTAGCGGTATACAGCTGGACTGCTAACCCGTAACTCACGTTGTAGAAAGTAAAAGCGGCTGGGCATAGTGCTGACCACACTATCTCTTCGTATGCCGAGATCACAGAAACAAGTGAACTCTACTTCACTTTCCCTATAGGCCGTCAGTTTTGAAAGGGAAACTTTTTTTTAACGGAATGACACACTACATAGCGTGTTATATTATTGTTACAGGATTTATAAATACTTTCAGAAATAATCGAGCGTGTATTTAATAAGCACACTACCTTTACCAATTAGTTACTGCATGACACACTACCTAGCATGTTATATTATAAATACAGAATGTTATAAATATTTAAAGAATAACCAAGCATCGTTTTGATGTGTAAAGCGTCTATACAGTTGAATAACGGAGTGACACACTACCTAGCATGTTATATTATAAATACAGAATGATATAAATATTTAAAGTATAACCAAGCATTATTTTAGTTTTTAAAGCGTTATACCGGTGAGTAACGGAGTGGCACACTACCTAGCGTGTTACATTAAATGAATGATTTAACTTACGACTGCATGCTGTGCGTGCAGCAAGAATCAAAGTGGGCCTCGGGGCTGTAGTAGGTGACCTGTAAATCAACCTGCAGACCCAGCAGGAATGTGCCTCGATAGTCAGTGAAACTGTTGTTGCCGTCCAGCTGGTACCCCATACTCCGCAGGGCCGTTTGGAGACCTGTTTGGTCGAAAAATGAATTGATATAGGAGCGAAAGATCGAAATTTAACAAAATACGTTGTTTGTTCTTGAACACCAAATTTGTAACACAATGTTTTAATGGAATTTAGATTTATAGTTGGTTTTTTTTAACGTAGAGAAAATAAATAAAAATATATAGATGATGAAAAAATAAAAAATTTATTGATATTTTTTTTTACATTAAGGAGTATAATATTAATTTTGAAGAAGTATAAGGCGGTATAAAGGACGAGCATGCAATAGGGTTTAAAGGAACGACCTTAGGCCTTACACAATTAGTTTTTCTTTTCTATTGACTTTATCTTCACGAACGATATCAGCTATCTGAAAAACTATTTTCTTTTTTTTTTAATGCGAAAGATTCTATTCTCAGGGTAATTTTGAATGTTAGATGTTAATGCAAATGTAAATTTATAATGTGGTTATTAGAAGTATAAGTAAATCTCAAATCTATTGTTTAATAAGATATATGTAGCATAGTGGCTTTTGTCAGAGTGGCCGAATTTCAAAAACTAAAGATAAAAACACAAATACCCTTGTTGGAAGATACGAGGTATGGGCAATTGTTGAAAATATTTCTGTCAATGAAGTACTGTATACCGAATGCATCAGCAGCCACGGCGATAAACCCAATACCAACAGGTCCTAGGAAAATGGGGAAAATACTTCCATCAGTAAAATAAATTAATAATCCAAATTTCATTACACAATACTTTTTATTAAGACGTGTTACAAATAATCAAATATAATAGAAATATAAAACTGTAAAGTTCATTTCAATAAAGGTAAAATTTATACTTACCTCATTGAACTTAGTGGTTTTAATTAAATGATTCTAACGTTAAAACAAGCATTCATACATTTAAAAAAAAAACTAAGTTTATGATTAATAAAGTTAATAAAAGTACCACAATAGATGACAACCATTTAAGACACTATAAACTCCGTTCAGGTTCAATAGAGTTAATGAAGATTTTAGTATAGGTGATACTACTAAACAAACACTATAAACTACCATTATGGGTAAATAAAAGTCGGTATCATAGATGCAGTCACTGTTCAGACATTACAACCTACCCTCCAGATTATTAGAGCTGATGAACGAGTCAAGATAGTAGATGCCATCGTTGTCGACTACAGTTTTTAATACTTGGGACTTCTGGGCAGCTATGTCTGTGATGTCTCCGTTTTTCTGCTTGAACAACGCGAAGACGAAAGAGTTGTGCTTCTCATACAGTGGGTTGACTGGTCCGTTGTAGGGGTAGATTTCCTGGGGAGGTAGGGGTCAATTGAATATTTGGAGAGGTTATGATAGATTTGTAGGGAGGTAGGGGTTAATTTAATATACGGAGAGGTTAGGATAGATTTCGTAGGGAGGTAGGGGTTAATTGAATATTTGGAGTGGTCAGGATAGATTTCGTAGGGAGGTAGGGGTTAAATGAATATATAGAGGTTAGGATAGATTTCGTAGGGAGGTAGGGGTTAATTGAATATATAGAGGTTAGGACAGATTTCTAAGGGTTATTGAATATATATGGAGAGGTTAGGATAGAAGTCCTAGGGAGGTAGGTGTTAATTGAATATACGGAGAGGTTAGGATAATTTCTTGGGTAGGGAGGGGTTAATTGAATATATATGGAGAGGTTAGGATTGATTTCCTAGGTAGGTAGGGGTTAAAGTAATATGTCGATAGGTAGTGCTACATTTCCTGGGCCCCAATAACCCAACACCCAGATCCCTTATTTTTCAAAATAAAAACGAATCCCCAAAAAATCTCTAAAACGTACGTCCTTTCGCTATTTTTTCAACAGATCATAGACAATTTTCTCAATATAAAATATAATGTTATTTGTTTCGTAGACGCCACGCACCTCCCCCCCCCCACACACACAAACACATGCTCGCACACACACACATACACACGCACACACACACACATCAACGTACGGTTCCACTAGACGTGTCCGCAGTCTTAATGTTGACCCAGATCCCACCCAGGCTGAGGTACCCAGCGTCGTAGGCCACCAGGGTGTACACCTCCCCCTGGATGGGGGTGAAGGTGATGGACGGCCGGTGGTTCAAACTCCACATATCGAGGTAGATTGTGTGGGTGTTGTCCAGATCAACGGTCATCGCTATAGCATCGACTGAAAATTTGTGGCCACACGCTACGTAGGTGCCTAGGGGTAGAAAAGAATATCCTATATATATATATATATATATATATATATATATATATATATATATATATATATATATATATATATATATAAACAAATTAAAGAAATAGAGAACATTTATAATAAATTAATGCAAATATATATATATATATATATATATATATATATATATATATATATATATATATATATATATGTATATATATATAGGGTCTACGACAATTTCCCGAAAGACACTTGCCCGAATGCCGTTTGCCCGAAGGCCGATTTCCCGATTGGTCACATGCCTGAATGCGAGAAATGCCCAAATGGACGATTGCCCGAATGGGACAAATGCCCCATATATATATATATATATATATATATATATATATATATATATATATATATATATATATATATATATATATATATATGTGTGTGTGTGTGTGTGTGTGTATGTATGTATGCAATACTTGCAGTTTTAAATAAAAAAAATTATTAGGATAAACTTGAATTAACGTGCTAATAATTAACGATTTAAAAATTGCCAATCTGACAACTCACCAGCCGGGGTATTAAAGCGAATATGTAGGAACTGTTTTATCAGGCTCGTGTCGAAATTATTTGTCCTCAACATTCTGGAAGACATGTTCTTGTTTGTCGTGTCCGGGTTCATGCAGTAAAAGTCCATGTTATCTGTGGAGGGAGCATTAACATTGCTTCATCTAGTTGTGTTGAAAGAAGTACCTATGTGCCTGGACAGGTTACAGTTGATTGTTTTGAAAATATTACGAATGCAGGTGGGGTTCAGAAGTTCTACATATTAAAAACGTGTTTATTGGCATTGTAATGAAAAAAAATTGAAAATATTATATGTTAAGGTTTTTTGTAAAAGTTATATGACTTAAAATGTTAAATGTTAAAGGCTGTCCTTATATATATATATATATATATATATATATATATATATATATATATATATATATATATATATATATATATATATATATATATATATATATATATGCGTGTAAATAGAGATGGATTCAATATGGTTTCGGCTGCTTTTTTGGGCGGTAGGGGGTCTGAATTATTTTGCCATTTTTTGAAACTATGGTAAAGTTTCCTTATCTATAACATTCGTGTTTCTACTTTCACTAGACTGAAGACTGGCCGTAAACCCTGTTGTACCTAATGCCCCTGCCTTAGCCATGACTCCAACCCTGACAGAGATCTAACACAACATAGAAAACCATGACTACAACCCTAATAGAGATCTAACAGCATTGAAAGGCATATTTCCAACCCTAATAGAGATCTAACACAACATAGAATGCCATATTTCCAACCCTAATAGAAATCTAAACACAAAATAGAATACCATGACTCCAACCCTAATAGAGATCTAACCCAACATAGACAGTCATGACTTCAACCATAATAGAGATCTGAAACCACGAATCCAACCCTAATAGAGATCTAAAAAAACATAGAATGCCATGACTCCAACCCTAATAGAAATCTAACACAACATAGACAGTCATGACCTCAACCTTAATAGAGATCAAACACAACATGAAACTTACCTGTTTGGTTTGGGCATTTTACTATGTAGCTGTCCCCGTACCATTTGGAATTGGTGACGAACTCAGCCCGCACACCGAGTAGACAGAGGGAATCGTTGCCCACGTTACATGGTGTGTTGTGGGCACTAGCTGTAGGATGGGAAGACATATATGAGTTCCGATTTTAAAACACGAATCAGTAATAGAACATAAACTTGGGAACAAAAATTGAAGAGTCTAGTGCTAAAAGTGCTTTAGTCACATTTTTTGTGGCAACCATCACAAATAAATATGGACGTTGTCCCGCTAGTATCTGATGTAGAAATATTAATAGTGAAGTATTTATGTAAGTACCTCTTTCAAACAAACACATTTTTTAAAAAACCGAAATATTTATATATATATATATATATATATATATATATATATATATATATATATATATATATATATATATATATATATGTATAGGTTTATATATGCATATATATGTATGTATATATATATGTATATTTACATATATATATATATATATATATATATATATATATATATATATATATATATATATATATATATATATATATATATATATATATATATATTATACATATAAATATATATATATATATATATATATATATATATATATATATATATATATATATATATATATATACGTTTATATGTATATGTATATATATGTATATATACATAGATAAGCTAAATAGAACAGCCACTTGTGTCTCTCTTAGCTATCAACCTTAAGCTAAAGCTACTTAAATGGTGTGTACAAAATTACCACTATTCTCCTTTATTTCTTACTAGTTACTCCTTAAAACTGATTCGCTTAGTAGAAATCCTACAGACTGAACGGAAATAATTTTTACAACCAGGAATCAAACACCAGTCTTTCAGTGTCAGCAATGAATCGCCCTATCGCTACACCGCCTTACTGCTCCTAGAGGTTCTAAGCCAAAATGGTAAAATTTACTATCCCTACAAAAAAAATAAAAAAATAAATAAACCTGAGAAAACAACAACGAAATTAACTCACCTAGAGCTGCCAGAGCAGAGACCAGCGCCAACAATGCTAGGAGTTGCATCGATCCCTCCATTCCAACACTCACAAGCTGAAGTTCCGACTTTTGGAATAAAGCAACACAAAAATCTGGACTCAACACATCCAGCAGCAATGTGTCTTAAAAGGCCTTTACCGTGCTGCTTGATCTGACAACGATGTGCCTCCTTCCAACTAAGTTCAACACCACCACCACCACCACCACGGGTTTTTTAACCCCCAACCACCCACACCCCAACCCTTACGATTTACCCCCACCACACATATTCCGGCTCTACTCCGCCCCAATTTTCGGGACGAGTGTCCTACATTCCAAGTCAACGACACGAAGACCTTCAATCACGTGGTACAAACCCTCCCAACAGGCTAAAAATAGACGGCGTTACCGCGTAGAAAACATAGTGGTGCACGCATAATCCAACGGCTGGATTTACTGTAAAGGTTCCAGCCATCCCCCCGCCGTACTTTTGAACACCATTTACGTACTAACTCTGTACACAAGTAGCCATCCCCCCTCCCCACCTTGCGAAGCCATTTACCTACCAGCTCTGTATTATTATATTGCCAGCACAACCTGGTAATGCCATTTACCTACTAGCTCTGTACACAACTTCCCAGTCGTCGTCCCCCACCTTGTGACGCCATTTACTTACTAGCTCTGTATACAGATTGCCAGCATCCACACCCACACCCCCCCCACACACACACCTTGTAATGCCATTTACCTACTAGTACTAGTTCTGTATACAGTTGCCAGCACCCCCACCCACGTTTCGACGCTATTTACTACCAGCTCTGTAATCCTATTCATCATACAAACCCACCCCAACCCCCTATGTCTCCCTCATTTATTCTGCCCTTCGTGTCACGCAAATAAAACGTGATTTACCTCCTGAAAAAAAAATATTGTGCCTGTCGTCTTTGTCTCTACATTACACCACTACCCAAAAACCACCCAAGCGGATACACCCTACATCAGCATTTTGTGTCGAAAACATTTTGTAATTCTAAAATTATTTTTTTGAACTTGAAATAGATTGTACAAAAAAATATATTATTCAGAAATTATTCATTTGAAACGTTCGTAGTTTGCGTCTTAAGACCTACCCGCCCCTTTACACACACCCTAGATACACCCCAGCATGGGGGGGGGGGGGGGGGGGTAAGGGGTAGAAATATATGAACAAATAGATGTTGATTATGTAGAGGGAGGTGGATGAAATGAGCATCATGTACATATCGATGCTCGCCCATAGCTAAACAAATAAACATTCGTAAACATTAGGAGAAGTAAATTGTGAATTATAAAAAGTACATTCAAAATACATTCAGCGATTTTACGTTACCTGAAAGAGTTGGAAAAAACATAGTTTTGCAATTTTGTTCGTATGTCTGTGTGTGTATGAGTGTATGTGTGTGTATGTGTGTCTTTGATCATGATAACTTGAGTACCGTTACAGCTAGATTGATGAAATTTCATATATAAATATTATATCAAATTTGTAGTTCTGTAACAACTTTTCAGAGAGTTCCGGTAACCGGAAGTGGAACTTATTCTACTTTAATTTTTTTTCAAAAGCCACTAACGAGCAGTGGCGTAGCGAGGTCGGGTGTCACCCGGTGCGGCACTTAATGGTGTCACCCCCCCCCCCCCAGAGGCATAGAGACCCTTCCCAGGGACAAACTTTCAAATTTTCGATTTGCACCCCCCCCACCTCAAACTTTCGATTTGCACCCCCCCCCCTCGAGTTTTCGATTTGCACCCCCCCCCCCCTCAAACTTTCGATTTGCACCCCCCCCCCTCGAGTTGTTGTCTATATATTTTGCTATTTTTTGCATTGGTGTCACCCCCCTAAATGGTGTCACCCGGTGCGGTCCGCACCCCCCGCCCCCCCTCGCTACGCCCCTGCTAACGAGTACTGTTTCAGATAGACAAATGAAATTTTAAATATAAGTAAAAGATCTAATTCTCTGCCTTCTGTCTAATTTTGAGTAATTTACTTTGACCAAAAGTAGCAATTTACGCTATTTCCGATTTCTCAAAAATCGCATGTGAATTTATAAAGTACTAATAATATTCCGCACTAGTATACACATATTATTTTGCGTTCATTTGGTGCGCGATTCTTTTTTCTACGAGATTCTATTCTATTTTTAAAAGTTTAAGTAATTAAAAATGGATTAAAAATCATGTCTATATCCCGCGTTGCCATCCTTCGTAATGCTAAATAAGAATATTTGAGAAAGTTTAGGGGAGATCACTCCCGGTTTATTTTCCATGTGACTGGAACACAAAGACGCAAACCAAAATTGTAGTTGCAGTTAAAATTTATTTTCGCCTATTTCTTTGTTTAGTAGTGCTTGTTCAATCGTTTTTATCTAGAGATTGGTCGGTTGTTTTTTTTTTACTTTCTCGTATATATGAAGTAGCCTATAGAGAAAGTCTTGAAATCGTGCAAAAAAAAAAAAGAATCGAGATTTTTGCAAATCTCGACGTTTTACAGCTCCCTGAGTCGGAAATCTTGTCCGCATGTCTGTGTGTGTATGTGTGTGTGTGTCTGTGTGTCTGTGTGTCTGTGTGTAAACACGATAACTTGAGTACAGTTACAGTTAGGTTGATGAAATTTTATATATAAGTATTATATCAAAATCGTAGATTCGTACCACTTTCTGAGCGATTTCCGATAAACGGAAGTGGAACTTTTTCTACTTTCAATTTTTTTAAAGCTTTTAACTTGATTACTATTTCAGATTGATAAATGAAATTTCACTTGTAAGGAGAAAATCTAATGCTCTGCCTTCTGTCAAATTTTGAGTAATTTATTAATTTAGGGGAGTTCACTCCCTGTTTATTTTTATATGCATTAAACAAGAATATAAAATCAGTGGAAATCGGACTACCATAAGCGGATCAACAAGGCAATTAATTACTTAGTTCGAAATTGTTTTACTGAAAACAAATAGCTTACGCCAAGGGTAGATTATTGCACAGAAGTTTGATTAAACGCCCAAATAGAAGAGCAAAAATTAATATGAAAATCTTTCAGCCAATAAATTTTGCGATCTGAACTGCGCTGGAAACATGATAAGGGAGGCTATATATCAAGCTTTAGTTGTACCTATTAATATTCTTTCATCCCAACATAAGTATTTATGAATTGTAGTTAGTAAATTAATCTGCTTACTGTAAAACTTTCTATAAATCTTTAACAAAAATATTATGCATTTCAACTGTTTTATTTTAAATAACATTTATTATTTTAAATTTTCCAACTATTTTTTTTAAATACTATTAATTCTCTTAATTTCCAAAATTGTTTCAAACATTATTGTTGAAATTCAATATTAACACTTCTGTAATCTCGAATAAAATATTACATCCACTATATTACATGTACAGATATTGGTGGGCTTTGCGTCGTTGGCGTGAGTACTTAGGTTTAGCAGAGGAATTTATACTTTTACAAGGCCGATGGGACGGCGTGGCCTTGCGGTAGAGCGCTAGACTGCTAACCCGAAAGTCTTAGTTCCAATACTGTTTCAAGTCATTGGAAAGTCCCTGAGTCTACCCAGCTCTGATGTGTATCTAACCTATGTAAGGGAAATTAAAGGCGGTTGGACATAGTGCTGACCACATTATCCTTTCATATGCTGAGATCAAGAAACAAAAAAGCTCTACTTTATCTGCCCGATAGATCGTTAGGTCTAAAGAGGCATCTTTATTTTAATATAAGACGCCTATATCAATGAAATCTGGTAGCATTCACCAACTTAAGAGTACCAGTACTGTAACATCCACCATTATCGAATGTTAAGTCATTCTGGCGTTATGCTTGATCAACAGAGAAGGAGAAACGATGTTCTTAAACTTTTTGGAGGTTCTGAACCCCACCAATTTAGCACCTCATTCGAAAACAAAACAACTTACGCGGCCAGACAGGAATAGTACTAGAAAGCCTATACAATAGCAAGATATTCTACGACCAACTACATGCGTCCCTATGCTTAAAACAAGAGAAGTCTTGAAGACTGTAACGACGATTAAAAAAAACATTCAATTAA